CAGAGCACCTCAAATGATTCTCGTACTGAATCAATTGTTCAGCTGTTCAAAAAACTCTTAGATCTTAATATCCCTGAGGTGCGAGAAATTACAAATGAGATTCTCGTGAGGCTTGGAGAGTTTGGCGAGACTGCGATCGAGGCAAATTGTAGGTCTAGAAGCATCGTTATCGCTGGCCTCCCTGAGCTTAGGGGAGATGGACGCACTGAACCAGCTGCTTCAGTGCGTCAAGAAGATACCGAAAAGAAAATTCGTGAGGTGTTAGATGTTCTTGATCTGGAGTGTCGGCCTGTTAAGATCTTTCGAATGGAAAGGAAAACGACCGGTATGCCGCGCTTGGTAAAAGTAGAATTGCCGTCGAGGAGTCATTGGGCCTCCGCTCTTTCGCGAGCCCGACTGCTTAAAGATTCTCCCTGTCATAAGAGGGTTTACATACGACGCAGCATGACGGCCCGCGAAAGAGAAAAGGAGCGTGAATTGCGGGATCAGGCTAAGCAGCTGAATCATCGGAGCTTTGAAGAAAGATTTGTTGTATACAAGGGTGAACTGATACTTGCCAGTTCATTGGCTAACAACAATCTTGCTTCTCCTCAATCCGCAGTTGGTTCACACCGCGTTTCGTCTGCAATGCAGGGGAACTGAACTGTGGGCAAGGAGATTCTTTACAATGTATTCTTTTCAATGCTAGGTCTTTAGTAAACAAGTTACAACTGTTACACCATTTTTTGATTACTAAACTCCCCGATATTACTCTCATCACGGAAATATGGTTGTCCTCGAAATTAAGTGATGCTGAAATAGTCTCTGATTTGCCTTACATGATTTTTCGTTCTGATAGATTACGTAAGAAGGGGGGGAGTGTTTGCATATTGATCAAATCAACGCTGTTATGTGAGAGCATTGTAATCGAAAATAACTGCAGTTATGAGATAAAGTTGGTTGATCTATACCAACCTGGCACTCTCTCCAAAACCAGAGTCATATGTGTCTACCTACCTCCCAGCTCAGCTTCCGATTCAGTGATATGCTTGTTGACCTTCTCTTAGCTTCTACCCATTGTACTCCAAATATTCGGATCGCTGGTGATTTCATTCTTCCTATGAGATGCTCTGGAGATTCACTACAACATACTTACCCACAAGTTCAGAGATTTCTCGAGTTCTTTCGTGACCTGGACCTAAAGCAATTCGTTACAGTACCTACGCGCGATGGTGCCATTTTAGATTGGGTACTATCAGGTACTGACTCAGTACTATCAGGTACTACACAAACTATCAGTCAAGGCACCGTTTGGCACATCGGATCACAATACCATCGAATTTTTCAACAAATTCCAAAATCCTAAAAAAGAACTTATCCCATTTCCTATGTTTAACAAAATTGACTTCGAAGCTATGAAAAATGACCTTCACACTCTTGATTGGGAAGAGATCTTCGATCGTTATATTAGCCCCTCTGATGTATACTACAGATTCTGCTGTGTTATGTATAGACTACTGGCTAAATATACTCCATTTGGTGTACATAGGATTGGCTATCTACGATACCCGCGTCACATACGGTCGCTTCCACTCCAGAAAGAAAGACTTTTCAGAACTGCTCAGTATAACTGCCCACTATACAGTAAGGTCTGCTCTGACGTGACATTCCACATCAAGAAATTCCTCGCAAATCACGAAAGACACCTGGCTTCGTCTAATCACTCCAAAAATCTCTTTGCTTATATCCACCATATACAGCATGTACAACACCACGGCGCCTTAAAGGACATGCTAGGCAATACCTGCCTAACAGATCACTCTAAGGCCTTAGCATTAGCGGAGTTTTTTGCAAATACTTTTTCCACAAGTACTACGGATACTAAGACATTGGGGGTATCCCTGAACCATACTTGCTCAACACCTATAATCATGCCTTCTACTGTCCAAAACTTTCTTAAAACATCAAAGCCTTCTACATTTGAACCCTTTGACTGCATACCTCACATTGTCTTCAAACGTTGTGCAAGAGAACTTTCGCTCCCTCTGTCACATTTATTCAATATTAGTTTCATTTGTGGAGAGATACCTGACATATGGAAAGAAGCAATTGTCACCGCAGTTCCGAAAGTTCCCAAACCTCAATCTTTGACAAAATTTAGACCTATAAGCATAAATTCAGTACCATGTAAAGTTCTTGAGAAAATTATTCGTGACAAACTTCTCTCTTGGTTAGAAAGGTTCAATTTAATACCCGCTGAACAACATGGGTTTGTCAGCGGTGCATCCACAGTAACCCAACTAATAGATTGTAGTCATGACTGGATTAAGGCATATCTCAACAAGAAAGAAGTGGACGTTATATGTTTCGATTTGTCGAAAGCTTTTGATCGTATAAGTCATGGTAAATTGTTGAACAAACTTGAGCATTATGGTATCAGAGGACCCTTACTTGAGTGGCTAAAATCATATCTGCACTCCAGATACATGACGGTTCGGGTGGGGAGAGATCATTCTGGACGTTTTCCTTGTACAAGCGGACTTCCGCAGGGGGGGGGGGGCCTTTCACCCTTGCTATTCCTGGTCTATACTGCTGAGTTACCCCAGATTTTGAAAACTCATCCTGATATATATGTTCTCATGTATGCTGATGATATAAAAATCTATGGTGTATACAATAGGGATAATCAGAGAACAATTGAGGATGCTTTGCAACGTGCCATCAATAACATGGTTGAATGGTGCACAGATTGGGACATTTCAGTAAATGTAAATAAAAGCTCTGTTTTCCATGTTGGTGCTACTGCAAGTTATGAACACTATGAGCATGCCGGAGTTTCTTTGGTAAATAAAACATCTATCAAAGACTTGGGTGTTGTATTTGATAGCACCCTAAAACCAGACGCACAAATTTCAAACGTTACTACTCGTGCATTTTCGATTCTGTACACCATCTTTCGTAATATTAGAGTCGCCGACTCCAAAATATTACTGAAACTCTATAAAGCATTTGTCATCCCTATTGTAGAATATGCAAGCCAGGTTTGGAGCCCCTTTCTGAGGAAGCATAAGCAGGCCCTGGAGAACGTCCAGAAGGTTTTTACCCGCTTGCTTTTCTAGAGGTGTTATCCCAGTCGTGCTTATCCACGATCGCTTCCAAGCTATGGTGAACGAATGAAAGTGCTAGGTCTTAAAAGCCTTTTACATCGAAGGATTCTGCATGATATAATACTTGCTTTCAGGATCTTTAGAGGCGAGACTAAGCTAAGACCTTCTAAATACTGGGTGTTCAGGCCTAGTCATGGAAGGACCACTGGTTTTTCTGTTCAACATCTAAATGGTAGGCGTAAACAACTAAGCTCCTTATCAGAAAATAGTTTTTTCGCACGCACCTCGAAATATCTTCAGTGTTTACCTAAAGAAATTTTGTCTTCTCCAGATAGTTTCACTTTCAAACGAAGACTTAAGAAGTTAAATTTGACTGATTTTTTCCAAGAGGTTGAGTTTGAGTGATTTTCTTCCAGAGTACTACTTCTTGTCATCACTCGTATAGTGCCACCGTTGCCTACCAACCTTCCTACACGTGCTGCTTCGCGTGTTGCTCGGGCCAGCCCCGATACTATGAAATTGACCAACTCTATCACTCCTAACCATCGCACAGAAGGTCTTCAAGTGATAGTTTCTTATGTATCAAATTTGTGATCGCTGGACCTTATATTACTTTTGTTCCAATTTTTACTTCGTCCACACGTGGTTCGGGTCTGGTTCACCCTTTCGTTGTTATTTGGGAATAGCTTGTCTGACCTGACATCTTTTTGCATCACAATCTTTTATTTGGAGTTCTGTTCTCTTCCCAGAACTCAGTCGGGCAAAGTTTTATCATTACATCCGGTCCCCGCAAACACACTTGCTTAAGTTGAATGGTCTAAGAGCACTTCTGTTGCTAGCAGGGGGCATGAGACAGACTCCACTGAGCATTTGCACCGATTCGTACACGGTCTAACAGGCTTTACCCCATTCTACTCTCAGCACGGTGCTGGACTTTAACTTTTGTGGATGCTTTGTTTTTCCTTATTACTGTTTATGCTCTAAATATTTTCGTCCTCTGTTTCAAATATGGCACCGCTTGTGCGTATTGAATAAATATATAAATAAATAACTCTGTAATGTTTGAGAGTTGAACTGCACATTAGCATCAATAGGAAGAGAAAAGCATGGAAAATGGAAAACGTGGGCGAGTGCAAAAGTAGTTTTTGTTTGCGCTTCTATGAACAAAAGCGGCCAGCGGCGGCTACGGGCTGCTACGGGCTGCTAGCGGAGGTTGCCGGCGCGGTATGAAGGCACCCTCAGAGAATACAATTTGAAACATCGTTAACACACTGACGATCAAGGCCTTTCACGGAACAGCCAACATTTTTTAGTCAGAATCGTGCACATTTCCATCTACAGTACACCTACAGTAGCGCTGGAATGCTGGCAAGAACGGTAGAAGTTGTATTTAGATCCAGCACAAAAGAAAACTCTCGAAAGTGGGTTTCACACAAAATAGTAGCCATTTCAGTGACGCGCTTGGTATGTCAAGCTTTGACACACCATGTGTGTCAAGCGGTCGTCAGTGTGTTAACTTTGCGCCAAAAAAGGACACTCTTCAAGCTGTAGAAAATGTGCAGCTCCTTGGCTAGAGCAAAGAGATACAGCGGGCTGGCGTCCTTTAACAAGATCTCAAAAGTGCGGCCACATCTCTGCCACCACAGACAAGAATGTTGGGGAAAGCGTTTTGACTCGTATACTTGCATGGACGTGGCGTTCTCAATCTTATCAATGTGGACAGTTGACATTATCAATCAAGGCTCGGCTAAGGGCAAGCTGATTCGTCGAAGCCTCAACTGAAATTCTGTTCAGTCGAGATTGATTGAGGCAGCTTTACTACGGGCCATAATCTTTCAATCAAAGTTTTCACGCAGAGTACAGCGTACTAGATTGGATGCATGAGATAGAAAAGTCTCAAACGTAGCAACCTCCGGCTTTATACAGGGAACGAATTGAGCTGGGAAGTTCCTAGTGCTATGTCGAACTTTTTTTGCGACAAGAATGAAGAAAATTTCATCTGAAGGAGGCGCAGTGATCCTATGTTTGCACATTTATACAATGATAATATTGCAATGAAAAGAATATACATATGAACAAACATCTCCCGGATCTCCCGGTATGAGTTGAGGCAAGACAGGTAAAGCACTTTAGAGTTGGTCCTTCATCTCTTTATCTTCATAGCTTTCCTCCTCCGCTTCCTTCTTCAGAATCATCTTTCTCCTTCGCAGACTTCTTTTCTTCCTTTTTCTCAGACTTTTTAGCTTCTTCTTTCTCCAATTTCTCAACTGAACAAAGATATTGATATTAATAAAAATATCCTCATCAAAAGCCAATGTGAAATTTCGGCTAATGAAGTACATCTGAAATCGACTGTACCTCCCGCTTTAACCTTCTTCAATGTCGTTTCACCGGATCCTTCTTTTGCTGAAAAAAAACATCAACAACAAAAAAATTGAAAGTTTTGTCTTGCAGAACCTTCTTCGGAACTCGAGGATGAGCTTGATGATGTGTCGTTACGTGCTTTTCCTTTCTTTGCAGCAACCACAACGGCTATCGCAGTCACTAGTAAGACTATGGTCAACTTGCGCATTCTGAAATAGTCGTAAAATTTTTAGCTGGAGGATAAGAGCTTGCAGATAGGTCCATCAAAAGTTTGAATTCTCATTTTAAATTTGGTAAAGTGCGGTGGCGATCAAACCAAAAGCGTAAAAATCTAGGAAAGGGATTTGTTAAATAATCTGTGTTTGTTTGGAAAGAAATCTTCAAGAGCTTCAAATGCTGTGCAACAATCTAATTTTTGGTACATTCATTGAAACTACGAGATTTTAAAGAAAGTCAAGCTCAAAAGGCGGACTTATTCGAGTGATAAGATTAGTGGTAAGATTAGTGATTAGTGGTAAGATTAATGATTCAGTAGCTGGAGATGACACAGAAAGCCTACCTCAGAAGAATCATATAGAACAAATGCTATGAAATTCTAGCTAGGTTGCGTGAGCATTCCGATAGCTCAAAAATACAAAAGGCATTTTCATTATGCGCTATGGTATAATGAAAAATTTATCACTTTTTCAATGACAAGCAGTTCCATTTAAGCGAGCTGTATGAGCCATAAGATCTCTTGATTTGGGCGTAATTCATTCATAATCGAGTTGCTCCAAAACAGAAACTGATGGAGATTTTGCGGAGTTAATCGTCCGCCTCTTACAAGTCTCAAAAGTGCGCCTGATTTCTCTTTTAATAAACGTTGCGTCATCTCATGGATTTATACAACAGGTAATGGTTAGAATATTGTTACTAACAGTAAATAATTTGCCCCTAACTCAAAGTCTTGATGTTTTCTTTAGTTGAACCATCTCAATCTACAAGCGTAAACAGCGTAAATTTATACTTCAACAATTTGGTAGCCCAATCATAGGCTAAACGAAATTGCTCGAAGTTTTACATATTTTAGCATTAAAAAATCATCTTGTGGTAACGTGACAGGGCAGAAATTGAGTTAATGGGCCATTATCTATTTTCTTTCGTACAGCGTTGAGAAAGCTAAGAAGAGCACAGCACAGCACATTAAAGCAGAGATCGGATTGTTTGTGGGCATGAAGGATCAAAGCTATGGGGGGGGGGAGGAGGGAGGAGGGAGGTTGTAGTCTATTGCAACATATGTTGTGTTCCGCGTGATAGACTTCGAGGATATTTATATACATTTTAAAACTACAGGAAGTAAAAAAGCTGTTACAATGCTAAAGTAATGGGAATCAGTTTACAAATCACCGGAATTTTTTGTAGAATGTTTACTTATAAATGTGTCATATATTGAGTCATCATTTTTACTGAAAAACTTTGAATTTAGACAACAACGTGTAAGCTGTAAGTTACATGACTCAGCATTTGGTTTAAAAAATTTTCGAGGTGATTACCAAGACAGTTCAGCTATACACTAGGACTTTATGAATTGTGAGATGCACTTGTTCTGATTGGGTAAGAAATACTTACCTATTTTATATATTAAACACTCTTTATTAAGAGATATAGATGCACTTAGAGAATGTGAGATAATTTGAGTAAATGCCTAATTTTATCAATTTTTGATTTTTCTTATAGACAGATTTACATTTGTAATATTTCTAAAGAAATTAAGATTTTAGCCGGCCTTTGTTACCAATGTCTGCAACATAGACTTGATTGACAATTCCCACTTGTTTCATTTTACAAATGCTGCAAACACTTCTTCATTTCTTTAGCAGCTGTTAGAGGCCCTTTACAAACAATCTTTTTACAAATAAAATCTGCAAATTTCTGAAAAAAAAAGTTCCCATAGATTACTATGGATCAAAATTGATGGTGCAGTCATCACAGCTGTCCGAATTACGTTGGTGTCCAGACAAAAATATTGCTTGAAAACTCATGTGACCTAGTTGATTGTTGTCGGCAATCACTGGAAGATTGATGTGATTACGAGATCAACTTCAACAGCTCAAACACAGCCGTCGTTTGAACCCAATGCATGTAACCTCAATTACCCATGTCATTCACTAAAAAATCCATTAACACGTTGACGACCGAGCCATTTTTGACCACATTAAAATGGACTGATGATCTACGGCTGCGGTTTGCACTGTTCAACAGCTACCGCAATGCCATGTGTTCTTTATGACAACCAGGCCACCAGTGTTATCACTGTATAGAAGTTACCTGGGAACTTTTCGTTTACACATGATAAATTGATGCACAAAAGTGCTAAAAGGTGTTGAGCACAACTTCACCTGAAAGTAGACAGGGATGTCGAAAATCGAGTACGATGAGCCTTAAGGGCCGGGCATACTTCACGCGATTTCAGTCGCGATGCGATTTGGCAATATTCCAACAGTCCATAACTCACTGTAAGCACTTTTTAATTGTACAGAAGACAGGGCATTTTATCAATCCGCGTGAGTTATACACACTATGCATGTGCAGTTTACTGGTGTTGGATCTGAAGACTTCTGGCGAATCGCCAAATTGTCCCGAGACTGAAATCGCGTGAAGTATGCCCGGCCCTTTATGGTAAAAACAACGACAAAAGTATAGGTCGTATCGTGCTATGGTATTTATACATATATAAAGCTGAGTGTTTGTAAATTGTTAGTCAGTGCGTTCATGTGTTGCCATGTGTTGCGCGAAAAGTAGAAGAAAGCCAAAACGCAGTGAGTTGCGCTTCAAAAGTTGTGCGCCAATCTTGCGCTTTGTTATGCCACTTAAATCCTTTATGCGAAGCCGGGCATGCCAACTAGTTCACTTACAATACAAACATGAATTCTTGACGCACTAGTTCTCTCTTGATTTCGAAGGAAGATTCACCAGTAATGTAGTTATTGACTTTGGCCTCCAGGACAGACATTGGTCTTCAACCTATGTTTTCACCCTTACATGAGTCTTTTGAGGTAGATCTCAAGTTGTTTCAGGGTAATTGGGCTGTCGAACCATTTTTAGGCGTAAGAAATGTAAATGGATGGATGGGCCCAAGTGTCCAATGTCGTGGAAGGACTATTTATCGCAGAAAGGGACTGAGAACGAGAGCTGGACCTAAATCACGGCAACCTACAAGCTAAGGTGACAGATGAAGGTTGATAAGCCCAAAGGCAGGACAACAGCGTTTGTAATCTATAGACAAGCGTTACGGAATATCGGATTTTAGATCGACTTATTGAAGCCCTATAGGGTAATATACCCTGGATCAAGAGATATTGCCTACAAATTTACTTGAACTTGCTAAAAAAATAACCTAGCTTAGGATTATTCCCTCAGTCCTATCATTAGTAAATCGCATCCTAGAGAGTAACCAGTGAGTAACGTTTTGACTCACATCTATTACGTAGGAAGTCTTTTCCCTCCCCATGTACCCCCCCCCCACACAATTATAAGCGTCAACTCCATTGTTTTGTGTGCAGCTTCTGCAATGTTTTATATTTGACGAGTCATAGCTTCTAGTTACAACCACTTTTCTGTGTTTGTAGGAGTTTAGCAACACCATGTGTATTTACAAATGAATCATACATTCAGTCTTACCTAGATACATTTTTTGGAAATGCCGCTTTACGATGACGACGACAACTCTCCGCCTCATAATAAAGGTGAGCCTCAAAGTAAAGGTGAGTGGTGTTAGCTCTATTTTTTAAGGTGTTTCAGATTTTGGGGGTAGAAGAACATGCCAAGAAACTGTCTCATTTTGTTGTGTTTGAAATTTATAGCAATTAGCATCGATGCTAAAACTCTTTCAGGATCTGCCGATATCACCATGAAATTCCTTCAAGCTCAAATCACTCAGAAAAGAATGCAGATTCAACAAGGAATTGTGTGTTCGCATTTTCTTTCCAAGGTTCGATTCAAAATTCTGAAGGCTAAAACTATTACAGCAGAGAACAAGTGTAGCGCCTGTTGTGGATTTGTCTGCTCGGAATAAAGGGCTCAATATGCGTCGAATACAACCAGTACGAGCATTGCCAATCACAGAATTGGCGCCTCCATCCTTCCTTCCAAAAGGAGCCGTGGAAGATAGTGTAAGGGTTTTTTTTCTGCTACTTTTCATTTGCTTATCAGTCTTACTGGGTACGAAGTTGTTTATCATACACGATGCTTACCATATTCAGGTCAACCTATTCGGAGAGTATATAGTGAAGAATGAATATCAGCCTTCTGTTCCTAATGAATATATCGCTTTCAAGCGAAAAGCAGAAGAGAAGGAAGCGCGTGAAAAGCATGCTCGAGAAGTTGCTGAGAGGTATAGTCATAAAATTTCTTTCTCCATCCTTTCTTCGCAACTCTGAGTTCAGACTGGCACGTGATCATAAGGAAGAAGCTAAGAAGAGGTTGAAAGGAGCCGCAATTGCACCTCCCCAAGCACTACTGGAGCCATCATCTTCCCCTCCAAAGGTGCGACCATCTGACAGATTATATCTGATATCCTTCTTTATATTCAAATTGTGCCATATGCACTGCTTTTTCGTGTTGATACAGGCTTTATCTGCTGAAAAGGAGCGTATCTTTCATTCTTACTGCAATCTTGGCTCCCTTTCACTCACAGATATACTTTTTGAGGGCCTTAGTGCACATAATTTTGGAGCTATACGAATTCACTGAAGTCATGTCGCAATCTCGGTTGCTAAATGATTTTTCAATTACAAGGGGCATCAACATCTTTCTGACTCCTAACTTTCGAAGCTCACCAAGTTTGTAACAGTTTTACAAATTTTGAACTTGCAAATAGTTTTTGTTTTCGGTTGCAGAGTATAAAAAAGTTTTTCGGATTTTCCCCCAGAAATTCAAAGCTAAAAGAAAACACACGGTTGACTTCCGAGCCACTGCCTCAAAGGTCAACTTTGAAATAAGCTATGATCATTGTTCAGGAATCATCTCCTCCTTCTTCTGTGAGTATGCCGCCACCGGCGTTCCTTCCCTCTTTTGGCAAAGCCACTTCAAAAGGTCTTGGTGTAGCCGCTAACATCATGAGCAAATTCGGGTACAAGCAGGGTGCTGGATTAGGTAAGCCTACCACTCAAACCTGTACAACATCGTAGCAAATTTGAACTTGCTACAGGTCGAGATGAGCAGGGAATGAGTACAGCACTGACGGTGGAGAAACTTGGAAAAAATGCGGGACTCATTATAAATGAAAGCCAAAGTAATCCAAGCAACCCACCTCATGTGACGGCACCTCCCATGGGCGTTGGTCCTGTGAATATGGCTGAAGCAATCAAGCGATCAACGAAAGTGCTTATGCTTACGGTAACTTTATTTTTTTTCGTGTCGTTTGAGATAATCGTGTTTATGCCAGCGGATATTTTGTGTATGCGGTTCAGATTCTTGTCGGGTCACTTACTTATTTTCATTTAATGTATTCAACCAATCGATATATATATATAACATTTTAATGTCTTTTGAATCCACCATCAAATTTTAATTCTTGGGGCATCTTGTGGATAGCCAAAATTGTCTTCACAACTTATTTATAGAACATGGTTGGGCCTGATGAAGTTGACGACGAACTTGAGCCCGAAATCCGAGACGAAATGGCAAAATATGGGCAAGTAGCTTCCGTTGTCATCCATAAGGTATCGTTTTATCTAACTTTTATTCTGCTTTGAAGTTAATGTTTACAGCTAAACGGTGTAAGCGATGAACTGGCAGTGCGAATTTTTGTGGAATTCACTAATGTCGCACAAGCAATCAAAGCGTTTGTTGTCATGAATGGACGGTTTTTCGGAGGTCGATCTGTAGCTGCGGCATTCTACAATGTGGATGATTTCAATAACAAGGACTACGGAAAGTAGTTTTCATGGGCTGCGGGTTCTTCTTTTTTGTTGTTGTTCTTGTTATTAATATATACACGAATTCGTGTTGTAATTTCTTTGTTGAGCAAGAACGGTCGGCCCAAATAAACAAAGCTGGCGCAAACGGCTTTATCTTTTTAGGAGATAAAACAAGGTTATGTGGATGGTGTTTACGGAAGTCGTGTTTGAACCATTTAGCTTATTTAGGCGGTCGTCTTTTTTCGGTAGTTATTTATATTTCCATGTACAGTTATAAATTACATCTGATGTGTGCACGTATTGATTGTGAACAATAAAATCTATTGACTTTTTTTGAACTCTTATAGAATGGTTACACCACATTTATGAAGGTCATGTACTGGCGCGTTCTCCATGGTAAGATCTGTCTTAACTTAATAGAAGTAAATTGTGCAATCCGTGGATTCTACGGTCAATACAATATCGCTGCGCTGACGACATCATTTGCGCGTATTATGTTCGTAGGTCGCAAAATTGCGAAATATACGTTATGTGGCTACTATTTGCGCGCGAATGTTGTCGAGTTCTCTGCCTTTCTCAACAATTTCCTGAAAAGTAATAGCTGTGTTGTCAGATGGCGTGTGAATCCCTGCGAATAGAGCAGGTGGATGCCAACTTCTTAGATCGCGAGTACAAGCAAATTATCGAACAACAATTCGCCGAACTCACTATCGGATTACCGGTCTCAATCAGTCGAATCTGTGATTATCTTAAGCCTGAGATAAGGCTTCTTGTCGACAGCGTATTGTGGACTACGCGAGTCTATAGAGGTTTCCTTACTTTTATACTGGATCTACTTGGTTACCCTGAGAACCTTTTTTTGGAGTGCCCAGTGTCATCTGTCTCATTATCTAGTTTTGAAGTCATGCATTAGCAATAATCCGCTGATGTGCTTCCAGGAGCCTCACCAGGACAACTGACAATGAATATCGCATACAAAGACTATCCGATCAGAAAAGTGTTCACGCATTTCCTAATATCCGTGTTCATTCCTTACGTGCATGGACGATTCTTCAACGCAGTCAATAGCGGTGTTATCAGGAAATTTCTCTCGAAACTCAGTGCCGTATACGAGGTATCGACTTGACCAAACTGTTCTCTGTTTTTCATCATTAAGGATGAAAAAAGAAAATTGATAATGAAAGCTAAAAATCGGAGATCGCTACGTCCAGGCTGCCGACGCTGGAAATCTTGTTCTTACCTTCTTGCAGCTCGGAGAGTTTTCCGAAAAATTGAAGGACGTGGCTGACGTGTTAAAGCCATGCCTTTAGAAAATTTTGCTGCCCTCCCCTTTTTTAGGGAAGAAAGTTTTGCCGCCGCCATTGCAGGGATTTCTGCAAGTTTGGGACGAATCTGCATTCTTTGAAAATGCTTTTACCTGTCGATTTGAGACAAATTTTCTTCTCAATTCACTTCTCGCTACAGCATTTTCTTGAACACTTTGAAGCGCAAGTATAAACTTTTCATATATCAGGTTGTCCCGAAAGTTCTGTCGCACCATTTTCAAAAAATCGTAACTTCTGACTTTTTCATCAGATTTGACTGCTTTTATTTTTATGTGAAAGAACAAGTCATGCTCTTTGTAAAGACATCTTAGCTGCCTACAAACATCATCTGTTGTATAGATAGGAGCGATAGAAGAAAATTAGTCAAAATTTGGATTTTCTGTGTAAGGTCATAAAAAATCGGAAACTTGCAACAAAAATCGGAGCATTCGGTAATGTAGGTTCTTTCACCAGCTCTTTCTAACAGTGCAAAGTTTGCGCCGATTGAGCGTCAATATGAAAAGTTACGATTTTCGAGCAAGCAATAGAAAAGGGCGAATTTGATTAATTTTGGCATTTTTCAGGAAAATCGTAACTTTTCATAGAGACGCTCAATCAGAGCAAACTTTGCACCGTTAGAAAGGGCTGGTGAAAGAACATACAGTACCGACTGCTCCGATTTTTGTTACTAGTTTCCGATTTTTTATGATCCTACACAGATAATTCAAATTTTGACCGATTTTCTTCCATCGCTTCTATCTATGCAATAGATCACCATTAGTAAGCATCTAAGATGTCTTCATAAATAGCACGAATTAATCTTTCATACAAAAATAAAAGCAGTCAAATCGGTTGGAAAAATCAGAAGTTACGATTTTTTGAAAATGGTGCGACAGAACTTTCGGGACGACCTAATAATTCCCTCGTTTTTTCTAGCCAAACTCTATCTCAGTTGTATCACTAGCACTGGGGTTCTGAAGGGTTTTTTTCTGGTACTATTTTCCACCAGCGTAACCTAGCACATCTTATGAATGCTCAGGAATGCCCAGTAGGGTCTTCCTAGTCAAAGAGAGGCATGGCAGAGGGCGGAGTTTCCAAGGTGTATAACTTGAGCTACTGAGCAATAACAATTAATCATTCTACACCTAATGCGCTTTCATTTTATAGCAAATGATTCAGTAGACTCATGAGTCGATAGTATAAGGCATGAGTTTATCGATTACCCTATTTTCCGGGTTATAAGCCGCAGCGAACAATGGCGCAAAAGCGCCTTTGAAAAGAGCTATCTAGCAAACTGAAAACTCGGCGCGTTCTAGTACGGATAGTCATGTCTTCAGGTACTTTTTTTTACTCTTTCAGAAGTGTGTGTTAATTTTGGTGTCACAAGTGGGAGGAAGTCCTACACAGCCGAGTTCAAACTGAAAGCAGTAGATTATGCTGCCGAGAATGGAACCGGCCAGGCTTCTCAAAAATTTGGTGTCGATCGCAGGATGATACAAGGATGGCGAAGTGATCAGAAGACTTAGGAAGTGCAAAAGATATAAGAGAGCTTTTCGAGGACTCGCACCAAAGTGGCCATAGAAGAAGAGCTGAGTGAATGGATTATCGAGCAACGTGAACGAGGGAAACTTTGATGAGGTACCCGTTCCCTGCGATGTAGTCGGCAACAGAACAGTCGAAGTAACGGGCAAGGATGACGTGGCGATCACTACAACGGGTCATAAGAAGAAAAATTTGACAGTTGTGCTGGGTGTGACTGCTGACGGTAACAAACCTAAACCAATGCTGATTTTTGAAAGGCTTGCGATGCCAAAAGTGAGATTTCCAGAAGGTGTTGTTATCAAAGTGAACCAGAAAGGGTGGATGACAGAAGCGATTATGAAGGACTGGATCAGAGAGTGCTGGCTGACAAGGCCCAATGCGGCGCAAGAACCTAGCCGCTCAATGCTCATTTTCGACTCCGCAAGATCTCACCTGAGCGACGAAGTCAAAACCGAGATTGGAAGCGTTTCTAAGATCGCGATTATCCCAGGAGGCTTGACAAAATATCTGCAACCGCTGGATGTGGCTGTCAACGAACCTTTCAAGGGCAATTGAGGAAGCATTGGGACGCTTGGATGGCTGACAGTAATCAGGTGGAGTTGACTAGAGGAGGAAGAAGAAAATCGCCGCGGTTGGAGTTGATTGCCGAATGGGTGCCAGAGTTTCCGAGATGTCAGCGTTGATTCTATCCTTAATGGATTCAACGAAGCCTTGACAACTGATCTAGACATAGACGATCTCGATAATAGCTTCTCGTCAATGCATCTTGATGATAGTGAGAATGCTTAGACTTTTTTTTCTTGTTTCATACGACTTTGTTTGGGTTGTGTTTTCTTTCCTAAATGATACTACTGGTTGACCGTGCTTTCCTTCTTTTTCAATGATATCACTGGTGATGAAATTGTGATTTCTTTCATTTTGATTTACCGGTTTGAAGCTTATCACCTTTCGATTCCCTGTTATTACTGGTATTCGGACGTTCTTTTATTGTTCAGCGGATTCTCGAAGAATAAATGAGAAGGTAGAGAATTTTGTTACAAACAAATACGCTTGCGAAGAAACCAAATAAAGAACGAAAGCAGAAAGTTGTTAGATACCAGACGAAATAGATAGTAGTTGCTGCTTGTGCGGCTTCGCGCATCGCGAACGACATCGCATTTCAGTCCGCGCGAGGTGAAAAGAAATGCGGCTTATACTTCGGAAATAGGGTATGAAACTATTTTGATTATATGTTGCTGCGTAGAGTTTTGTTCCTTATCATTATGTATTTGAAAAGTTGTAAAGGACCGAGTCTTGATTATTACGAGTTCAACCACGTTTGGCACAAGATATGAATCTGTGGAGTGCTTGAGTTAATTGAATCTACAAGAATTAGTAGCTGCCAAAGCGATGACAACTCTCTCTTCCTCTCAGAAAACTCTTTTCTTGCTCGAAACTTCCCTTTGAACTTAGCGTCAAGGGCATAAAAAATGCTGCCGGTATTCTTCACAGCCGCGGAGGAGATTGTTGTAAAAGTAAATAATTCTCGTCAGTTCTCTACGACAAACATTTACTTTTCATACACTCTTTAGTTGGTTTAAACAAAAACTTGGCAGTAGAAAAGGGTAAAAGATGAAAAATCAAGTTATAGAAAGAAAAAAAGGCTCAACAGAAAACTCAACATATTGTAACCCTGTAGATGGAAGTTCGTTGGCATTTGAGTCGTATCTGAGCACCGGATCATGTATTATAGTCGAGCATTTTTCTTTACTTATATGTGCAATTGCACACATTTTCTAAGGTGTCACACTTTTCTTCGAACACAGTTGCGCTTATACAAGAAAGAAACCAGGAAAAATAGAAAAAACGATCTCTGGCTCCACGATCAGCTTTTGGAAAATCTGCAATTGCACACTTAGCATGAATTCGGACTCCACTTTAAAGAGGATAGTGCAGCTTAGAATAGGTCCAAAAGTAAAGTATGAAAATGGGATAGTAGTGATATTTTTGCAGGAAATCAGATCGAATTTTTATTTTTTCACTATTTTTTCAGTTTTATTCATCATTAGATTCCAGGCATTCTGCATCCTCCATTATCTAAATTTTCTACGAGTTGGTGGTCACAGCACTCTTGTCGAATCATATCTGAACTTGCGGAATTGGAATAATGATTTGCCCACTGTGGGTAAGTTACATTTCGATATCTTGAAGCAATTTTCGAAGCTCGATAAACTTTATTTATACTTTGTAATATAAAAGCAGCTTAAAACTTCTAGAATCATCGATTCACACAAGTCGTGAAAAAATTGTACATAATAATTGCAATCTGTCGAATAAACTCACCATGTAAAAACGTAAGCGTGTCTCATCGAAATCCTATAATCTAACAATAAATGCATAAGGCAAATAAAATGAAAGTGGAAATGTTGAAATTTTACAGGCACAATCAACTACGAGTCACAAAACAGGGAGCTACTATGGCACACGTTCCGCGACGCGCTTCTACTACTTTGGCCAATCTATACTTTGTTCTACGAGAAAATCAGAATTCGAAGCAAAGGCGAGGTGCAGTTGAATGAGGAGGCGTTGAGCTGCGGCAAATGCGGACAGACGGCGGTGGCGCCGATGCGGACGAAAGGCTGCGCACACATCGCTTGCTATTGGTGCGTCGCGTCGCGAGGACCTGCGGAGCGGAAGCGTTGCGTTGTGTGCGGAGCGGAAGCCGAAACTGTACCTTTACGTGGACGTGCTCTAGTGTAGTGGAACGGAAGAAATGTACAGAGAGGCTGGGAACGATTGATCGATTATCCTGCAACATATACTTATTATGAGAATTTTAAAGTTGTGCAATATATCTATAGAAAACTTGACCCTTGATTGTATGCGTTATCAACATCCAGTTTACGCTATAATAATATACCGCAGACAATCACAGCTGCAGCTACTGCTGCGACGCGGTCAGGCGCGTGCGATACAAGGCATTAGAATTGCACTATTTTGGTTCCACCATTGGACGATATCGGGTAAGGATAAATGTCCAAATTAATATTATTTCCAAATTTAATAACGGCTAATATCTTCCAATTTTTGTCTTACAGTCTGGTGCTTAAACTTGTTATTGTTTTTGTGGGGCGAAAGTCTCCGTTGACCGGTAGTCAAACCAAAGCGAGTTCTTTAGATCCTTATATAGTCGGGAGAATTAAACTAGAATGACCTATCATATATTCGCTATTGTCCAGTACTGCTAGAGTCTAATGCCCCAATTTGTTGCTTGTGTGCACCAGTAGACAGATGAAAAATAGTTTGATCCCTACTTACCAGACGGTTGCAGGAAATAATGTGCGGCATTTTTTCCAAGCCTTTTCTTATCAGTTTTCTCATGCAGCGCAAGTACCGCTGTACTCTTATAGGATCTCGTTCAAAAACTGCTATTGGCCAGTAGTAAACTCCGCTCAGGGCCTCTCCCTTGAGGCGGACGTGACCTCACTCCGGCATCTAGCGAGCTATTGATCTGTATGTTAATAGTTTTATAGATGAAAAGGGTGTGCGTTCTCAAAGAAGAAACAGCAACAATGTTTGTTCGGGCATGGTCAATTGGATTGCAATGCAACAGCCATGGTTCGAGATCGTCTAGCGGGATTATTTTTGTGGCATCGGCACGCAATCATTGACAGCGGCCAGTAACAAAAAGTTGATGATGAGCTATCAAAAACTTTACCCTGCGAATGGTTAAACAAAACAAAATCACGATACTTTGTTCTTTCTTTTTGAGCTATACACGAGATTGATAATTGATTTGTTTACTACGGCTAACGTTTCGGCAGATCTCCTTTGTCAGAGCCTTCAAGGAACAATACGATCTGCAACCGATTCGAACAATCTTTACAGCTGAACAGGGGAAATGTGGAACTTTGTTTTCGATCACTAATTCAGCTGCACTTAAGTACTACTTCTGGATCACGCCGATAGTCCCCTGTCGTCCGCTGCTAGAAGAAGATGGAATTGTTAGACGTGCATGCAGATCGCTATTTACATAACCTTTGATTCAACTGGTTTGGCTTGAAAAGGCGGGGATTTGTGACGTTAGTGAGGCCGCTCGCACCTGCGCCGCACCTACGTCTCTCCCGCGCGAGTGTTCTCTGATCAAGCTAGCCTTAATTAGGACACGAAGGCCCGCATTGACGAAGCCAAGCCAGTTGAATCAAATGGTAATAGCAGATTAGAATTATTGATCTGAATAGGGCGAGAGTTCATGCGTAATTACTAAGTTTTCCTCCTTCCGACTCATTTTTGGGTTTTTGCATGAATCCAAAACGCCTTTAAAAACTTACGTGCTTGCGTTGGCAACAGATAAGGCACGTACAACACCACTAGGCACCCAGAGAGTCGTGCAACATGCAGGGACGACTTTGAAATTTCAGCGAGAATCTTGTCTATGAGTCCCAAGCGCAAGCACGTAAGTGTTTAGAGGCGTTTGGGATTCATGCAGGAAACCCAAAAATGAGTCGGAAGGAGGAAAACTTAGCAATTACACATGAACTCTCGCTCTATTCAGATCAATAATTCTGATTTGGTAGTATATAAATAGCGGTCTGCACGTTTAACAAGTCCATCTTCCTCTAGCAGCGGACGACGTAAACCTCCACTTTCCTGTGCAGGGGACTATCGACGTTATCCAGAAGGTACGTGCTCGAGTGCAGCTGAGTGGGTGGTCGAAAACAAGGCTTATTTTCCCTGTTCAACTGTAAAGATTGTTCGAATCGGCTGCTCGTAATGATCCTTACAGGCTCTCACAAAGGAGATCTGCCGAAACGTTAGCCGTGAATTAAATAACTCAATTATCAATCTTGCGTATGGCTCAAAAAGAAGGAACAAAGTATCAATATCAAGCCGAGATTTATGAACGTCGCACTAGTTAAAATCACGATATTTTAGCCCGGATCCTCATGAAAAACCAATTTCGAATAGAAGGACAATGAGACAGACAGATTTCATTCAACGCAGTTTTTTACAAACATAAGGCAAACCCCGCAAAAAACCGAAAAAAACTTGTTTTTGCCTGTTTTGGCTGCAATCGGCTGTTTGTCGATTCCTTGTATCCATAGGTCCCAAAAATGTGCAGTTTCGCGCACTTTAGTCCACGATATTATGTCACATAACGTATTCCATGGTACTCACGAGCAACTTGCGGGATTTTCTCTGCGTCTCATCCTTTGCACACTATTTCTTAGAGATCATCTCAAAATCGACGCTGCTCTCACGGAAGTCAGGTGAGATCATTGCGGCACGTGCCCTGACGCCATCTGTCTGGTCAGATCGCATTTTTATAGCATAGGGCAGTGACCGCTCTTCAGTTCATCTTACGAACCTTATTGGAGGCTCTCATTTCAGGTCATCCGAGTTTTACTACGGGCCATTGTCTTCTTTGAAAGTTTCTTCTCGAAGACAGCGATTTTTATAGTAAGCGTTAGACATAAACATTGCAAAGGTCTTTAGAGTTTGTATAACCTATCTAGCCTGCAGGTGTGATGTCTAAAAAAATAGAAGTTAACCTCAACTGTTTGTCCTTTGAATAATTAGTGCTATAACTAATGAAGTTGACGACTTACAAAATCTTGACGGCGTCATGTGCTACTATGCGAATGCGTGCATTGCCCTCGAATTTCTATGCGTTATCAATCTTTGCTGGAAAATTTGCTTGTAAATCCAAAAATAACAAAGTTTGGGAATGGAAAGATTTGGGAAGTCAATTGAAAGCTTTACAACCTCTGACTAAACTGGATGTCGCTTTTTGTTGATGCATACTGTAGAACTGCAAAACTGACAAAGAACAGAAGCAAATATTTATACGAACATCCCGATTCCTGGAACCAGACTTTTCTCTAAACCTAAGAATGCGAAAGTGCACCCCATTTCCCAATTGATAGTTCTTTGGTGAGCGAGCTCAGAAGCGTTCAGCGATGCAAAAGAACTTCAGACCGAGTGTGATAAACGACTTTACACTTTGCTTAGATCTGGAGTGTTGATGTGTAAGAAAAACTTTGCTGAGACTGCAGTAAAGTTCAAAGCGGATTCCTGGTGAGGTTCTTCCAATATATAAGTTCGATGGCAAAAGTGTTCCGGAATTTTCTTGAAGCAGAAAGTTTGTAGCGTTTACTTTGAAGAGCACATACTCTCAACCTGATTCTAGAGAAAAAAAACACCATCTGTAAAGGTGATAGAGAGTCAATTAGCGTTTTGGGAATTAATGGATAGGTTTATCCACACTCAGCATTGGAGGAAAGATAATTGTGCAATCAACAACTGACTGGATCACTTTTAACCTCTACTTGCATATTTAACTTTGTGCCCCGTTTATTTCTAGATGCAGACTTTCCTATCAATAGTTTCCTCCTACACAGAGTAAACTCAACAGACTTTTCTTCAAGTGACAACTATCAGTATCGGATTACTTGAGTCTCGTTGAGAACGAAGCCTTTGATCTTTGAAATGTTACATTTCTGCTGCGATTTGGTTGCAGGTAGTGTTTGTGCTAGATCAAATCAACATGTGATAAAAAATCCAAACTGAAAAAAAGGATGTACTTCCTGATCTTGCAGACATTGCATTTCCGCATCAGACGCTGCCTTCATCGATATAATTCTTACCATCCTATGAGATGTTATTGACTTACAGAATAAGAGACAAAGTAAAAAGAAAGGAACTTTAGCATTTACAATGGAGATTCAGGAACTCCCAGCAACTTGTACCCCCATTGATTCTAGATATCATTTATTTAGACTCAAATAAGCAACGTGCTTGGAAAATGTGAGTTTAAGCAAGAGATGATATTGTAAACTTAGCGAAAACATAGACAGCATTCATTGTCGAGTATATCATGAAGCAACGCTTGACTTCAAGCATAGATGTTAAGCATCTTCAAAATTACATGGAAATTTTAGCGGATTTGAGCAAAATGCTGCAGAAGTGAGACGTATGCTTGAATAAAAGGTTTTTAGGGGCAAACGAAGATAATTAGACTTTCATGAAAACATCAAAAGCTCAACATTTTTACGCAAGTGTTAGATTTTATTTTCAAGGTTTTCAATGTTTTGGTTAACACCCGAACATTATTTTGATGTTTTTCGGATTTATGCCTGTATAACTAATATAAGGAGCACTTTTGATGTTCTACAACATGTTATAGTTCTCACTGAGGTACGGCCAAAAATGACCGTTGTACAAAAATTGTTTTAGGTTTGTTGCAATTGAAGAGTGGCCTTACCGAAGTGCTTAAGGGCAATGGATCGAGAAAATTGCAATTACTAACTTTCCATCCCTCTTTGGCCTTGTGGACGCGCTGAGGGCTGTACTTGAGAAGTCGACAAAGTGCTTTTTCTGGCGTTTTCAGGTCTTGGAGATTGCTGAGGGGTGGAACTCCCGCCAAAAACAGCTACGAGCTGCACGATACTATAATTTCACCGGTTTTGGCAGCAATTGGCTAATCGGCTCAGGCAGCCAATCGCGACTCAGTTGGCGACGCTCGTTTATCCCCTCCAGCAATTCCTAGGACCGAAAAATGCATGAAAAGCATTTTTCG